TTCAGGAAAAAAAAAAAAGAGCAACGTTGCTGTTTGTCTGTAGCTGGATTGGCCTTGTTCCGGTTGTCACTTGTCCCACAACACCAAGAAATACAAGCGGACGACAGCTGTCCTCCCGTTTGTTCTAAAAAAAAGAATATAAAAAAAAACATTCATGCATGGGGTGGCCTGAGAGTGCCTGTGAGGCTTACGGCTAACGTCAACGTGCAAGGTGTTGCCACTCTCGTCTTAGTGGGGTCACACCAACCCTAGCCCACTTCATCACTCAAACATAGCACACATGTTCTTCCCTCTTGTCATCTAGAGCTATCATATGCGCAAAGTGCTAATAACTTATGATTTCTTGATTACAAGCAGTCACAGCTAGCACTTAATGGCTTTTTTGCCATGCACCATTCGTTTTCTGGAGATGACAGCATTGACTCGGTGACTGATGATCCTTAATCTTACTTTCCTGTTAGATTGATTTAGTAGACCTCAGTTAAGCTACGATTCTTACCACTTATCTCGGAAACTGTTGCCCGTCCGCTTTTCACTTGTCCACTGTCACTGCTGACAGTCATTCTGTTTCTTTCTCTTCGCCCCTCTTCCCAAGCTTCAGTCCTCGACCGCAGTTGCCCAAACGCCTCTCAGAACTGTTATTCATTCAAACTGGCTGGTGCTCGGTCTACACTCACACGGTCCTCTAACAAAAGGAAAATTGTCCGTGAGCCTACATCTGTATGACTCCCTGTGTCAATCTCCGTCTCACCACGGAACTGCATATCCCTTCTCCGACCCTTGACGACCGTTACGGGGTTGTCCATAAACCGAATTATGTCAGTGCGATGATGGCATGGCACTGTCATACCCAGTGAGATGGCACTCCCGCAACTATTTTCTCCAGAATCTCGACCGTAACCCCTCGCGCGCTCATGCCTGTAGCCACAAAATTGAGCAGTTCCCATCCGGCCAAGTCTCAGGGATGAACTATTCCGTACCCAATAAATTTTCGCTCAGATTTGGCTAGCCTGGATTTCCTGCTGCAATTTCGACTTGCCTGTTGCACAAGTTCAAATCCGTATACAGAGTTCAGGTCGCCCTATGTATTAGCAACTTGCCCCCATCCAACCTATTCCCCTGCACCCCACATCCCTACAACAGTGCAACCAGTGAGTCTGCTTGCTTTCAGATTAAACCACATTTTTGAGACAAAACTCGACATGTGCTCCCAATTTGAATCAACCCATCTCCATCTCAACTGTTGCTCGTTGTGACTCCGGCCATTTACCTAACCGCCCAAGGTCACTCATGGCCAGCAATGGTTTTCAGTTATAGTTCATGCCACCTGACTGTCTTTGATCTAGTCGAACCTCATGCCCATTTTTCCCAAAAAGTTGGAAAATAACCTATTATTTTTATATCATCAGGTGTTCCCCACTGTTTGTGACATTGTCCTCTTTTTGTGCAATCCGTACCCCCACAAATCCCTCAGTCATGCTCCATTCTGACTGTAAAACTATGATCATGCCAGACGGTATGCCACCCACAAGTTTAAACAAAACATTATTATTATTATTACTCTCCTCCGGCGCCAGTCCCCATAGTAGTTCCTCAGGGCTCTGTCTTGGGACCACTTTTTGATCTACCTTGGGAATAAACATTATTATTATTATTACTCTCCTCCGGCGCCAGTCCCCATAGTAGTTCCTCAGGGCTCTGTCTTGGGACCACTTTTGTTTCTGATCTACCTAACTACTTCCAAGACGTTCTTCCAGGCCCATGTATACTTTATGAGTTCAAAATCCAGTGGCCCTCAAGTGGGTGTAAACGCTGCAAAGTAGTAGTCCTTGGACTGACGCATTACTCTGAAAGATGAAAATCACGTCCATATTTTATTCGGAGGGGACTCAGTGGGCGACTTTGTCGTGCATGTTGAGAATGGACCAGAAGATAATATGAGCAGATGCCAAGAAGGATTTGGGTGTCTGGCTCTCTTCAGCCGTATTCTTCTCACTGAATCATGAGAAATGTCCCCGAGCGCATTCGTCTTTCCCACTATTAATCACGTGGACTTCCGGATACATTGTGGGGCCTACGTTAGAAAGATTCTGGAATATGTTTAGTCAGGACGCATGAGGGGCGTAACCCTTGATGAGTGTGTCCAGCGAGTAGCTACGATCACGGTTCTCACGAATTCACGGATTGGTACACAGGATCGAGGCTTTTGCCCAAGTTCCCCTGGTCGGTTTTATTCTTGTTGTTCAGCGACTGTCGTTGGCCTGGAAGGCACAAGTGAAAAAAGGGCGTAGCACTGCTCTTTATGTTTTCAGCGCGGGGCAGTATGCTCGCCAGCGCGAGGATTCGCATAAATAAATGTCTAATAGTGCTTTAAACTGGGTTTTCGAAGGAGCCTGCAAAACCGTCGGAGGAGGTTCATTCCACGCACTTACTACCCGAAATGGTAAAAAAAAATTGCTAATGAATGTGTGCTCTTTGGGCTTGAAAATCTTCTTACTGTCCCCGCCGTGTGTTTGCTGGGTGAACGGTGAAAAAACTGTCGGCCAAGCTTTGTTCAAACAGGGCATAGGTAAGAATTAGGTCCCCTCGGAGGCGACGGTACTCCAGGGGAAAGAGATCAAGCACTGCGAGACGGGTTTTGTAGGCCACGGATTTGAGGCCGACAACCGGAAACGACTCACCGGAAACGTTCAATGAGGGTGGTGTCTTTCGTGCGTCATGAGTAGAGAACTTAGTTGGCGTATTCCAGGAGCGGTCTGACATAGGCCCCATGGAGTATTTGGAAGTCCGTGCGAGTGATACGGGAGAAGGTTCGTCGGATCATCGGTAAAATTTCGAATGCCTTTTCGCAAGAATTCTCATGGTGCAGTGAGAAGGAAAGTTTGAGGAGACCCAGATGCATAAATCCTTTTTGGAGTTTATCCTCATGATGTTTTCTGGTCTTTTCTCACCATACATAACAAGGGAATTCGCTGAGTCTCCTCCAAATGACAAACGGAATTACTTTTCGTCATTCACAGTAAGGCGCCAGTCCAACGGCCCCTGCTTTGCAGCGTCTACATCCATTTGGAGGGCACTGGCATTGGAATTCCAGGATTTATATTCGTCCTCAAAAAGTAGACATCTGGAAGGTCGCTGACTTAAATCAGAAAGAACACGGATCCGAGGACGGAGCCTTGAGGAACTCCAATAGAGTCCGGCACGGGAGAAGAGTAGGTCGAGGCTATTCTCACTCGGAATGATCTGTCTGATAGGAACGTCTTGATTCAATGAATGATTTTTCCTTGCATCTTGTAAAAATCGAGTTTGTGGAGCAGCGGAATATGTGTGACCCTATCAAATGCTTATAAGAAATCGAAGAATATGGCATCCGATATGAGTCCTTCGTCCTTCGCTTGGGTTAAGCTGTCCATAAACACCAGCAGGTTTAATATGCAAGAACGGTTTGGAAGAAATCCGTGTTGAGCTGGAGATATCAGGTTGCTGGAAGTAAGGCGATCTAGGCTACCTTCGCTTCAGAATGCGTTCCATTACCTTGCACGGCGCGATGGTGCCGCTTATAGTCCTGTAACTGCTAGGCGATCTTCGGTCACCAGTTTTGTAGATTGGCGTGAGATTCGCTTCCTTCCAAGCAGAGGGGAGACGGCCTTCGTCAAGCGACTGACAAAACACCAGGTATAAATGATTTTCCAGTGTAGACGACATTTCCTTCAGGATCCTTGGATGAACCTAGTCGGGCCCCAACTCACAGAATGGGTTGATCTTGGGCAAGGGTTGACGAATGTCCTCCACCGTGAAGACCAGGTCGGTTGGAGGCTGTTCGTAGTTACACCTTGAGAGGAGTGGATGTGACGATGATGCTGGGGCTGAATATAGACCTGCATAGTGTTCTCTGTAAACCTCAGATACCACTTTTGGGTCGCCCGTGGATTCTCCGTTCCTGTTCCTCAAGGAGAACGCGGATGGCTTGTTTCTGCTGTGATGTCTCATGTATTTGGACAGTAAGTTTTTGCTTTCCCGAGCGAGGTATAGGATGGTGGCTGGTTTTTGTATGTTCCACTGGCGGATTTCTGCACTTCACGAAATGCCAGCCCATCTTCTGTATCCACTGTAGTCGACTTTTTGGAAAAAGTTGCGATCTATTTTCCAGAAGCCGCCGAATCCTTTTTAGCAACCTGCGACTCATCCGAGTGCGTGACTATTTTTTGGGGCGAACACTGCGTCATCCTCGTGAACTTTCTGGACAATGGTTGCCGGCCTCAAGTACATCGAGTATGAAACGCATCTCGGTGTGCCTGGCCTCTCCCTCTGGAGTATCCTTGCGACGTTTGAACAAGGTTATGTGACTGCTAACTTAATTAGTGCATAGCGTGGACGCTGCAGTTTTCAAGCCTATGGCGGACACTCTTCCTAGGCATCAACATTTCTCATTTCGTATACTTGTTGTGTGGAATAGCCTTCGTTCAACAGCTGTTCACGCTGCATCTAGTAGCCAGCCCAAAGCATTTTCAGACGCTTTTTATTTGAGCCCTCGGAAGCTTACTGTCCTGCGCTGAGAACTTAAAGAGCAGTGCTACAAAGTTTTCGCCTGTGCCTTTCAGGTGAACGAAAACTACTGATCCACAAAATAAACCCGACCTGGGAATCTTGGACAAATATCTTGGCCCTGTGTATCAATGCCGGACGTGTGATGAGACTGCAATTGCTGAACGATTTTTATCCATGTTCTAACTCACCAAGAACAACACCGAACAGCTCAAAATGCAAGAAAGTTGGCATAATTTGGCGTTTTCTGATAACTTTCATCATATCGTCTACAACCCCTTCCAAGGAATCATTTGCATTTGACCTGAAGCTCATCTTGGAATGAGTCGAGTCGGCTATTCGGCGGGAGCGACGAATCCCTTGGTTGTCTTTTTTTGCACATGTACCGATGAGCCTGTCAGAGGTCTCACTGGTTGGCTGTCGTATCAGCATCATATCGAAAGCGCAAATTAGATATGAAGGTTTCCTGCACTCAGTGGATTGCGATACTCCTAATGAACCCATCATCACGCTTTCTAAAGGTAAAGACCACCTTTAAATTTGTTAGATTGTAGTCTGGTCATTTGGTACTGAGGACAGGCCTTGTGAGCGCCCAGTAGCTCCCAGAAATGAAGAATATAATCAAGTCGTTTTTCGTGGCCGGGATTTGGAAGACGTGCGCCTCGTGCAGTCATCTGTGTTTCTGAATGAAGATTCTGCTATTGTTAGCGCGGCGCCTGGGGTAAGTTAAAGTCGTATCTTAATTTCGTGCAGACAAGTATTTCCAACATACCAGGCTCGGCTTCTGCTGATAAGCGTGAAGGTTGGTCTCCGTTTGCCAATAATACTTTTTTCAGATAATAGAACTCTCGATCTTGGACCGAACGTCAATAACGAGGGTTCCACCACCGGTTCTTCACAGCATCTGTCATTAAGTGGTCTCGGTCATAGTTCTGCTAGACCTGCGATGTCGGCGTTCCAATTACCCGCTGTAGGCTCTCGTCCTGGGCCCATAGGAACCCAGCAAGCGGATCCACCCCATCACCCGGATTCGAGAGGTCCCCGACCTTTCGGTGATGGCCGTAGTGAGGGTGACACGGGAATCTTGGCAACTATGAAAAAATTGGAGTCTTCTGGGAGAACATTCACTGGTGGCTCGATCGATGACCCAGGTACGGAAAGGACAGTGCTTGGATCTAGTCCTCGCACTGACAGTTCACGTGGATGGTCGCAGCGTGATCCTCACGCTCGTGGAGCTCCTGGATTTCATCGTGGTGCGTTGATATCACACCCGGTTGGAGGTTTCTCTCCTGTCTCTGATAACTTTCAACGCAAACGAGGTGGCCCTCCGAATCAGTGGCCGAACGCTCAGAGGGGACTTAGGTTTTCTCAACCTGGTTACCTTCGTAGGGGCTCTCGTGCCGGAGGAACTTTTGGATGGTCACGTCCGCATTCGGGCATCCCGCCTACAGCTGCCGAGCAAGCCAATTTTTCTGGTGAGTACGACTATGAAAAAGCTAATGCCGAACTTGCCGCTGAGCTGGAGAAGATTAATATTTCCGTAGTAAGTTTGCAGACTAATTAAAACATTTCAATAGCCAAAATCTTCGTCATCTGTGGATGGTGATGCTAGTAAAAGCGATGAAGTCGGAGGTTCTGTCGCCAGCGAAGATGGTCCTTGTTACGACAAGACGAAGTCTTTCTTCGATACGCTAAGTTCCGAAATGATGGACAAAGCGAATGGGTGAGTGTTTCCAGTGTCAACCGGTCATCGCTTGTTTTGTCATCCATCTTTATCTATATCGATGCTATGAGAATATCAAGATCTTTGTATGATTATTAATGTAACCTAGGAAACTTTTTCGCATGTATTTTTACTAGATCTTAGAGACTGAAAGTCCTTCCTGTTACGTTTTGACCGAACCCAACCCCAAACTAAGCGCTTGCCTATAAGCCTTCGCATCCATTCGCTTTGAAAACATGTTTCCACCATATAGACTCTGCTCCATTTCACAACTTTCGTATTCCCGTGATTTCAGCTATTAGTTTCCGTCTCAATCTTTTGAAATGGTACTCTACTATCCACGAGAAGCCTTTCAAGCATCTATGCAGCGGCCAAAGGACGAAAGATACTGCTGTATTCGGTGGGTATTATGTCCTCTGCTCTAATGGGTATTGGTGCGATCCACAGTCAATATTAGTTTTCACTACGGAATGAACGGGGCCACTCCCTACCTGAATATTGTCTAACCCATCTGCACATAGGTTGTTTGCAACTGCCTGGCCCTATATTGTGTGATTTGAACCAGAATTCGGCATCAGTATTACCACAGGGTGGTAGGTGGCTTGGCGTGCGTTTCATACCTGCCTCAGTTTGTGTTCGATTTATTCGTGAAGAAGTATGCTTGCTTACACCTACGCCTGTCCTCTAGCTACATAGAATCCTGGTATAGATTCGTAATCGGTAAGCAATTACTTCAAGTCGCCAATCCAATTCATGTATAGAACATTCCAGACACTTGTACGACATGGTATTTTTTATCAATTGCGCAAGAGGTCGCGCCTCTAGTTTTTACCGGAAGCAGTTATGTAAAAAATCGGCTATTCTTTTGTGTGCAATCCAGGGAGCCCAAGTTGGACAGTGCCCTAGTCACAACACATCCCAGTATTATGCAAGCGGTCTTCGAGTCTTACTCTGACGTGAGCTTGCGGACTACACTTCAAAATTTCGCCGGTAGTAGCCTAAAAATTATTTTCCCAAGCGGTTTGATATACCGAAAACTACGCAACCAGACAACACATCCCGGAAGGAGGCCATAAGTGTATGACACAAGTGGTTACACACATGAGTCACATGAATTTTTCAATCGAGGCCACTTACCAGACCTAAAGTGGCGTTTGAACTTTTAGTACACACCAACAGCACATGGATGCTTTGCAGTGGGTATACTTGTAGAGACGTTTACCTGGGTAAAGGACAAAGTACACCATATTGTTGCCAGTTAGCGTTGACATGGGTCGATCCCTTCTTGTCTCTCCAAGAATACCTCTGTGGACGCCTGTATCATGCACTTGTTTGTTGCTGCTTTTCACTGTGCTTTTCAAGTTTATACAAAACAAGCACACTTTTTCTGGTCATAAGATGATCGTGGAATTAGATTCAAGCAAACTTACTACAGTCTACTCCCTCAACATCTGTCTGCTAGTCCGATGTCACCGTAAATAACAGATTTGACCTTACCGTATTGTGACCCGTTGAACTATATTGGGTGGTGTCTGTGTGACACAGCCTCATGTCTGGTTGATCAATGGTTAGAGGTCTGACCAACACTGTTTCCTTGCCCTCCATGCTGGGAGTTGAAACATCTATAGTGACTTGTTATATAAAAATGGCAACGCACTTGGATTTCCAGCCAAACACTGCTGCCTTGCGGTCAGGCTTCCGAGCCAAAAACGGGTCCAGAGATCCTAATCGTCCTCTCGTTCAGGTCTGAGCGCTCTGGTAGTAAGCCAGCCCATATACAACAATGAGGTGCACACTTAAAACTAATCTCATGACACATTGGCATCGCGTAGTGTCACCAGCCGGATCACCTTACTTCCTACATACAACCGGGTGGGAAAGCGAAAACAGGCCACTGCTGACGCTTCCATTCTTATTGTCCTAGGTTTTCCCTCTTCTACCCTACCCCATTCAGGTTTAAATGCTGTCTCCGCAGGTCGTAGCACTAGGACTGACCACTTTGGTCATATCACACTCAACTCCAACTTCTGTGTGTTCGACCTCAGTAACAATTCGAGACACTTCGAGGTCTGTCCTCGAACCCCGAAAGCTGACCTAGTTAGCTGCCCCGTATTATCCGCACACTCAAGCAAGCAGGACAATAGATGGGTGCCACGCTTACCCTGGATCCCACATCACTGATGTATGCTCTCTGTCGGAAACAAGAATACAGAAAGCAAGTGACTGAACTGACTACCCCATCGCTGTCTTCCAGGTTCTGGCTGCACACCTCTGGTGATGCGGAGGCCTCCGTAGCTGGCTATGCCGGAGTGGGTTTTGTGTTGAGCGATCGAGCGGAAACGTCTCTACTTGATTGGATACCAGTTAATAGTCGCTTTTGCGTGTTCTTTGGCAACGTCTGAAAGAATCTGGGTAAAGTGAGGTCTGTCGCATACTGTTCGTTGTGTCCGCTTACGCCCCAAATTACCATAGCTCCGAATCTGACAAATACAATCTCCACGACTTTCTGGGTGCGTTTTTACAGCCGGTTAAACGTTCATATCATTATAGTTGATGATGAGGTGAACGCTCGTGTAGGTAGGCTGAGCGCTGCTGAGAGTCGGTTGTTCGGTCGCTTCGGATTGGACACGAGATGCACGGACAACGGAGGTCGCCTGCATCATATGCGTACCGATCACAGACTGTTTTTTTTGTAGTGCCAATTTCCGGAACAGCAGAAGTCGCTTGACAACGTCATCACGATCATCTGGAAGAACCACTGTACGACAAGTACAGTGGTTATGGCTGCTACAATTTCCTCCATCTATGATTTGGGGAGGTAGGGGAGGTAAATCTGCATTGAAAGTGCCTACTAACGAACCAGCGCTGAACCCAAATAGACCACATCGCCATCAGTTACTGCTGGTGAGGATCAATGACCGCCTGCCTCAGCTTATCACTGCGTTTTTGAGGTCGGTGCAAAACGCGTTCATCTCGCATAGCGTTAAGAAGCTAGTGGACCCGGAAATCAAACAAAACTTTCACAGCTAGCTCCTCGAACATCTACCGGATGGTCCGATGTCGGATATCAACGGCCACTGGGAAAATGTATCCAAAGCACTACAGAAGGCTGGAGCTTCTGTTTGCGGTATAACACAGCCAACATCCAAACACTGGATCTCTGGTTGAACCATGGCTTTGCTTGAGACCCGGTGACACGTTCCTCCTGACCGCAACCTCCACTCAACCCGACGCATCATCCGACTCCAGGTAAAACAGTGTCTAGGAAGACAGCAAAGCTTGATGGAGCCGAAAAGCCTACTACACTTGTTCAATAGGGTGTGTTCCAGAAGTTTGTGAACATACTCCTATCCAAATTCTTGATCACCTTGCTTAAGGGCATAGGGCATCTTCGCCCTTGCTCCCCATAATTTTTTTCCAAACAACGAACGCTTTCTTTCCTCTTGATTGTATTGTAGCTAGGAGCCAGTATTGCTATATTGCTCTAAGTGGTGATAAGCCGCCTCGAACTCTTCAACACCAACTCTGAGATGCGTTTTATTAGCCATTTACTTTCGAGTTGCCGCTTCTCCAAGCTAAGCCAATCTATATTGAAGGGTTCTGACCCCGTTAAAGTCCATACAACAAACTACCGAATAGGATGCAGAATTCACATCGCGACGCGAATGGACCACCCATATTTCTCAGCAGGTTTCCCAGGTACACAACCGACACTTCCAGTTGCCCCATCCTGCGTCACCAGGCCACCCGGTCAGTCAGAAAGATCGTATGGATTACTGGTAAAAAATGGCTTCCAGTATTGGGACAGCTGTAATTGTTATTGATTGTTCGCATCCTTCCCGGCTGATCCTTTACGCTTCATGTCAAACGCATCCTCAGCAACATGACCTTCGACTGATGACGAACTGTAAGAAAAAACGAGATGGACTGAACGCTTTAGCTGATTACTCAGTCGCTCAATCTCAGACACTACAACCTTAACGTCATACACCGCCAATGGCGATGCTGCCGCCCAGCTGAATTAGCCGAGATAATGGAACTACCCAAAGACAGAAAGTCTTGAAGTGAAGATAGTTTTCGGCGAAAATCCACAAACCTGCCCATCGACGGTCCCCGAACCCCTTCACAGTCTGTCCTGCTCAGTATGGTATGTCTAACAGTTCCCATCGGTTGGGCTATCTATACTACCGCCGTGTTCGGTTGCTAGCTACTATTAACCGGAAAGCATTAGACTGCACGTATATCACGCGCGGTCTACGGACTAGACGAAGGCATGCCTTGATTGTCCAGAATGTCAGCTAATCTGAATAGAGTATCGATAGCTCGACCCTTCTCGCTCCTTTACGAAGATGTAAGCGCGACCTTGTGGAACATTCTGTGATGACCCCATAGATATGCTTGCAATAATCTTCCCTTGACTCCATCAAGGACTGTCTCAAACTACCGTGCCTTTTGATCGGCACAGGAAGCCAAGCTCCGGCACAGGAATGCACCACCATTTGCAATACACAACACACCGATACCCAAAAACGCAACAGGACAGTTTGGGAGAACTTCCTGAGTATCAACCCGATAGATATTGCATCCGAAACCTTTTATGTATTTTTACTGAGCCGCCTCAGAGAAGTTAGTCCCATGCCACGCCGTGCAGGAAGAGGTTAGTTGACAAATATTCATGTTGCGCCTTGCTTTGGAGCAGCGCTACAAGCCCCAACCACCGTTTGCTTCATTGAATCCCGCTGAGTAATCGAATAGAGGTCTGTTCTATTTTGACTGCTTTGTAAGGGGTCACGGTGAACAACACAAATATTTTTATTTTTAGAGCATCCCTTTAACGATGGACTGGTGCGTATTTACCTCTCAGCTCCTACTTTACACCGCACCTTCGACTAGACTGACAAAAGAAAGTGATGACGAGATTTCGGTCATTCCAAACAATATGATATTATCTGATACATTTGAGTGGGTGCCATTCAGCCACCGGGCAATCCATTTTAGCCGTGTGCCCCCTTCCCGCGAGAAAAAATATCCACCGAAGGCTTAATAACGGTAATACCTCGGCTCAGTTCTCCGTCTGATCATTCAAAGCTAGCGTTTCCTGCAAAAGAATTACCAAGGGTGCGTAAAGTGTAATAACCCTAATAAACCTGTCAGAAGCCCATGTGAAGCGTCTGTATTCAGCGACAACATTCTAGAAATCGGGATGCTTGCTTTGACGCGCCATTGGCAACCGGCATTCAGCAGACACTGAATCATTATCAGCTGTTTGCTCCACTTTTTCGATAAATCAGAGCTTACCTTGATGGTTGACCGGCAGCGACCCGATCTTATTAGGCTCATTGACCGCTGAAGCACCTAAATGCTATTGGGAAGGCAGTTTTGGCGTAGGATTAGGGCAACCTCACTAAAAAAAAGCTGTCGGAACTCGGTGCTCTCACTGATGATACTCCCTCCACTGATAATGGACAGTCGTCTGGCTGTCTTGTTACTCAGGTGCACTGAAGCATCAGTTCGTATATCTATTGGTATCTGGAGGCACTCACGCTACCGTTAGACTAGACTATTAGTGCTCTTTATTGGTAATACATCAGTCTAAACCGTTTCATTCAAACGATAGGTGATAATGCGGAAAATGAACTGTGTTACGTTTATTGAAAACAGGCGAGATGGCCCAGTAGTTAAAGCGCGAAATTACTGACCGCGATGCCTGTGGTTCGAACCCGCCATCTGCCTATCGACTTCCTCTATCTGGGCCTGGGCAACCGGGTAGTAACCCAGCCCTCGTGCTTCCTTCGGGTTGCATGGTAGTCAGGCACCGGAATTGTGCTACAGCTAAATGATTTTTTAATTGAACACAACACCAACCTATACTGCAGATGCTGGCACGGATTTGGATAGGTTAATCTGCAGTTAAACCTGGATTTGTTTCCTCAGGGGACTAAACCGCTGGGGTAGCTTTTTCAGGTTAATAGGTAGGCAGATACAATTCACGCACTTTCCCGGGAATTTGAGTTTAATCACATTGCCCCATGCCCCCCTTTCGGAATTAAAGATAATTAATTTGCTGGTACTGTTCACTCTTGATGGAGCGGATGCGGTTGAATACATGGTTTTCATCAACTCAGGGTTGAATTTCACTGCAAGCCAATCACAAGATTACTTTTTCAGGGTCTGAAATGTATGTGTTTGTTCAGGTAAGAATGAAAAACTTGTCTGGTACATGTTCACATTACTCTAGCCTCCTCTTGGTTGTGTAAAATTCAGTGTTTTAGGTATGTTGATTGTTCTATGCTGTAAGTGACAGTGCCCGTGCCCTCCACAACTAAACCCAGCTACATGGACATTTGCTTTTTGTTTAGCACTCATTCTCCATAGTATTGATACTATTACTATCATCGTTAATGGTTTCTCAAGAAAATCACGTTGCTATCTGTTTATCGTCTACACTGCTTGGACTTTTCTCACTTATCTAGCGTCAATCCCCAAGGGCTAAACCGGCGCGACGAACGCCTTCTCAACTCAGCAACTTTCGGAACAGTGCCACCTCAATTTGTCAGACGGGGAGGTTATCATGCACCACGAGCGACCAGTGGATATGGTGGCTACTCGTACGGTCAGCGCAGGACTAATGGTGGTGGTGGTGGTGGTTATTGGCGCTCTT